GAAAACATTTCCAAGGAAAAATGTTTAGACAAAATACTTTTTCTAATCTGTAATAATAATACTGTATTGAGACCAAATAACAGTGTTTTACTCACATTTAACATCATCCAATGTAATATACTCGTTTTGTCCCCGTTTTGACAGCTTAGGGGATTTCTCTTCTCGGATACTAGTTCTTTTCTCAGGGAACTGTATACCAAACAATTCTTGAAACATACCATGAGTCGATCTATATGAAGGATTTAAAATATATTGTTAATTCCACTTATTTGTGTTACAGTAAAAAATGTTTCATTAATACTCTCTTCCCCCGCCCCCTCTCTCTCTCATATTGCAAGTGGGCACCATTCAACCAACCAAAGTCCTTCAACTCTTCAAAGCACTTCTAAATGTGATTCTTTAATAGAGTAAATTGTGGCCATCATGCTTAGGTTAAAGATATTTTAGGTTATGGATGGTAAAGAGGAAAGTGAGCTGCACCTTTTAGCTTATGTCCATCTAGTCCACATATAACACGTATAATAATGACCACAACAAATGAAATATTTGAAGTGCTTTACAAAAATGAATTAATTAATCCATCTTCACAAGACCCGTCTCTATAGATAAATATTATTATCCCGCTCCTAAAAGATGTGGAAGCAGAGGCTGAGCTGTTTGCTGACTTGCCTATAACCAAAAGGAGCCAGCATCAGAGCTAGGAATAGACATTAGGGAGTGCCTGGCTTTCAGTCCTGTGCTAGATCGCTAACCACGCAGCCTGAAATAACTGCTGAAATGCCAGATTACTTTCTGCCTTACTTAGTCAAAATTTAAAATATAATATTCTTAAAATATTTTTAACACTACAGGCAAAAGATCCCACTCAGAGAACGCTGCTTTCCTGTTTTAACCAAGTGAGTTTAAATTGGAATACCTGTCCACGGTTTTACTACCCATTTCCTGAAAATGGATGGCTTTGCACTTCTGGAGTTTCTCTTTAACTTCTGTGGCAGGGGTGGAGCTGTAACAAATAATGAATATTCAGACAAGTAAAATTACAATTGGACAGGGAAGTGGTGCAAAAAATTCAGTATATACTGGAGTTTAACATGCACATGTTTGTGCCTGCCTAGGACAGTGAGGCAAATCTCTGGACTGTGGCTGCATCAGGGTAGGGTATCAGACCTTGCTTTTGCTATCCATTGAGAGAGGCTTAGAAAGGGACATTATCAGTCTTACGGCTTTCATATCCTTCCATTTCTGAACTTGCCACAAAGAGCAGAGTACTGCAAGATATGAAAGAGATAAGGAAGAGAAAGGTTGTTTCCTGATTTATAGCCTGTTCCTGCTCCCACTGAAATTAATAGGTACAGGACTGGCCTCTTGGCCCTCTTTTGCCTTGGGGAAGGAGAGGCTTAAAAAGTGCATCACCTTGTTCTAGAGTTTGCTATCAGGGTCATTGTGAACCATCGTGGGACACAAATAACTGAGGAAACTCACTCAGAGGGCATGCAGACAGGCAGAGGGGCTGATCGACTTGCTGGGATCCAATCTTAAAAGGGGCAGACAGAGCAGTGGGATAGGGAAGAGACAGTATACACAAGGGGAATCCACACCTGAAGATCTGGAATGCATAAGAAATGGGTATGGGAGGCAGCAAGTGGGAATCATGTGGCTAACACCAAATCAATAGCCCTGCTTGGTGCATCCGCACACTGAAAGCTGTTTCAGAAAAGAAGAGGGAGACTATATTTTTTCCAGTGGCCCAAGTATTTTGTAGATTCCAGCCCTTTATCATCTTAATTCACAACTGCCACAAAAAAGCTACAAAAAAAAATGCTTAAGAGCAATACCTCCCTCAAAAAGCACAGTTATATTATGCAGATAGTTCCTGGGTGCTTGAAAGTGTTGAGAATCAGATATAGCTCCACTGTCCTCAAAGAAACTGCACCCAATGCATCAGGTCTGAATTTGACTTTCAGGGCACTATTTCTCGGGCATGTGCAGAGCTGATATAACATGCTTTGCTGGGAGCCTCTTGTAGTGAAGTTCACTGGAGGGCAGTGCAAAGTAAATGTCACTAATATATTCATTATTTGTGGCAAATTTCCCTTTCCATTCATCTACTGGAATAAACAACAGATTTGACAGTAGACTTAAAAAGCTATTCCCTCAATAGGATGGAAAGAGGCTGTCTCAATGGTGGCAGATGACAGAACAAGGTGCAATGGTCTCAAGCTGCAGTGGGGGAGTTCTCGGTTGGATATTGGGAAAAAAAACTATTTCACTAGGAGGGTAGTGAAGCACTGGAATGGGTTACCTAGGGAAGTGATGGAATCTCCATCCCTAATGGTTTTAAGTTGCAGCTTGACAAAGCTGGGATGATTTAGTTGGATCTGGTCCCGCTTTTAGCAGGGGGTTGGACTTGATGACCTGTGATTCTGATTCTAAAACAAATATGTAGGACCTGGTCCTGCAGTTCATAATTGGGCGAAATCGCCACTGGGATTCGATTGTATATGAATAAGAACTGCTGGATTAAGGCCTTCATTTTTACATTTAAAAATTGTAACTTTAAATGTTTACCTTGCAAATTCAAGTGTTTGGGTATCTTCCTTCCAGTACCACACCCCTGTGGCTATTTTCACCATCTACAAAAATTAAAATATAATGTCATGTGTAAACAATTTTTTTTTTAAATATAACACAGGCATATTCTCAGCCAAGTCAAAGCAAATATAATACAAAGGCTATGTAGTTTGACCATTGTTTGGTCTGTCTCAATTGTTCATTTCACCTACATGTTTGTCAAGCAAGCCCCTGAGCTGGCCAAACAGACAAAATCTTTGAGATCAAAAGCTGACTGGCTAACACAAATGGGCGTTTGCTCTTTTTTGGTTTCTTTAAGATTCTAAAGAAGGCTTGAAAAGTTTTCTGGGTTATTAACTTTTTAATATTAGAAATTTAAATCATCCTCAAGTTGGAAGACTCCGGTGAACCAGTAAATACAAAGCTTTATAGAACAGAAGGGGATTTTAGTCAGGGTCTTTAAAATCCATTATGTTTTGTTTGTTTCTGATAACATCTATTTAACTTCAACGACTAAGAGACTTTGGAGAAAGGAAATCTTCCTTTAAGATTTAGCAGTTTCCTTTCTAATTTAACTTATGCATGAAGAGTTCACAAAACATCTTTTAGACCTCCCAGTGGTCATCCAACAAAAACAGAAAAGACCAGATTTTATGTTCTTTGTATTTCCAAAATTAAAAACAAGGGGAACAAATTTTGGAATGAACAAAGCCTCTGAAAAAAACCCTTTCGTTCCTCTTTATGCATCATTTTAAAAGGAAAGATTGCAAAGGCTTAAAAACCCCTTTGCAGGACATTTTAAAGATAACATGCATCTAATTGTCAGGATGCTTTCTCTTCAATAAAGGATCATTTAAACCCAATATTGCATTAAGGCTTTCTGTCACTTTCTGCCAGCTGACCAATGAGTCTCACCAAAATCCCCACAGACTCTTACTCAGTTCTAAAATGTTGTCATAGAATCATAGGGCAAGAGAAGAGACCTCAGGAGTCAGATCATTGCATTTAAGGCTTGTTGCAGGCCCCCCCAGTGTGGATGACACAGGTGTGAATTGCAGTTCTTTTTGTAGATCCTGTCAGCCTAACTAGAAGGACTGTCTATGATCGTGCAAACACAGTACCTTCTAGGGACAGAATCATAGAATACTAGGACTGGAAGGGAAGTCATCAAGTCCAGTCCCCTGCCCTCATAGCAGGACCAAGTACTGACTAGACCATCCCTGATAGACATTTATCTAACCTACTCTTCAATATCTCCAGAGATGGAGATTCCACAACCTCCCTGGGCAATTTATTCCAGTGTTTAACTACCCTGACAGTTAGGAACTTTTTCCTAATGTCCAACCTAAACCTGCTCTGGGACAGGCTCTGTTCAACATCTTCATTGGCATAGAGAGGATGCTTATTAAGTTTGCAGATGATACCAAGCTGGGAGGGGTTGTGACTGCTCTGGAGGATAGGGTCATAATTAAAATGATCTGGACAAATTGGAGAAATGGTCTGAGGTAAACAGGATGAAGTTTAATAAAGACAAATGCAAAGTGCTCCACTTAGGAAGGAACAATCAGTTTCACACATACAGAATGGGAAGCGACTATCTAGGAAGGGGTATGACAGAAAGGAATCTAGGGGTTATAGTGGACCGCAAGCTAAATGAGAGTCAGTGTGATGCTGTTGCAAAAAAAGCAAAAATGATTCTAGGATGCATTAACAGTGTGTTGTGAGCAAGACACGAGAAGTCATTCTTCTGCTCTACTCTGCTCTGGTTAGGCCTCATTTGGAGTATTGTGCCCAGTTCTGGGCATCGCATTCAAGAAAGATGTGGAGAAATCGGAGAGGGTCCAGAGAAGAGCAACAAGAATGATTAAAGGTCTAGAGAACATGACCTATAAAGAAAGGCTGAAAGAATTGGGTTTGTTTGGTTCAGAAAAGAGAAGATTGAGGGGGGACATGATAGCAGTTTTCAGGTATCTAAAATGGTGTCATGAGGAGGAGGGAGAAAACTAGTTCATCTTGGCCTCGGCGGATAGAACAAGAAGCAATGGGCTTAAACTGCAAAGGGAGCAGTTCAAACAAGGGAGCTTTAGGTTGGACCTTAGGAAAAAGTTCCTGTCAGGGTAGTCAAACACTGGAATAAATTGCCCTGGGAGGTTGTGGAATCCCCATCTCTGGAGATATTGAAGAGTAGGTTAGATAAATGTCTATCAGGGATGGTCTAGACAGTACTTGGTCCTGCCATGAGGGCAGGGGACTGGACTCGATGACCTCTCGAGGTCCCTTCCAGTCCTAGTATTCTAGGATTCTAGGATTCCCTTTATTACTGTAGCTAGTTTGAGCTCATTTTGTGCCTTTGCCTTTCTAATCTTGCCCCTGCATTCCTGTATTGTTTGCCTATATTCCTTTGTAATTTGTCCTAGTTTCTATTTTTCATATGACTCCTTTTTTATTTTTAGATTATGCAAGATCTCATTGTTAAGCCAAGGCGGTCTTTTGCCATATTTTCTATCTTTCCTATGCAGCAGAATAGCTTGCTTTTGGGCCCTTAATAATGTCCCTTTGAAAAACTGTAAACTCTCCTCAGCTGTTTTTCCCCTCAGTCTTGATTCCCCTGGGACCTTACCTATCAGTTCTCTGAGCTTACCAAAATCCGCTTTCCTGAAATCCATTGTCTCTATTTTGCTGTTCTCCCTTCTACCCTTCCTTAGAGCTGTGAACTCTATGATTTCATGATCACTTTCACCCAAGCTGCCTTCCACTTTCACATTCTCAACCAGTTCCTCCCTATTTGTTAAAATCAAATTTAGAACAGCTTCCCCCCGGTAGCTTTTTCAACCTTCTGAAATAAAAAGTTGTCTCCAATGCAGTCCAAGAACTTATTGGATAATCTGTGCCTCACGGTGTTATTTTCCCATCATATATCTGGATAGTTGAAGTCCCCCATCACCACCAAATCTTGGGCTTTGGATGATTTTGTTAGTTTAAAAAAAAGCCTCATCCACCTCTTCCACCTGGGTAGGTAGCCTATAGTAGACTCCTAGCATAACATCACCCTTGTTTTTCACCCCTTTTAGCCTAACCCAGAGACCCTCAACACTTCCGTCTCCTATGTCCATCTCCACCTCCGTCCAACTGTGTACATTTTTAATATATAAGGCAACACACCTCCTCCCTTTTTTCCCTGTCTATCCTTCCTGAGCAAGCTGTACCCTTCCATACCACCATTCCAATCATGTGTATTATCCCACCAAGTTTCTTTGATGCCAACAATGTCATAGGTAGATTAATTTATTAGCACTTCCAGTTCTTTCTGCTTATTACCCATACTTCTCACATTTGTATATAGGCATCTAAGATACTGATTTGATCTTGCTTCCCAGTTTTGCCCTGACCCTCCTTTCTCTCTGCCATTATAGCCCACGCTCCCTCCCATTTTTGGCCCATCTCCCAGGTCTCCTTATTCTCCTCTTACCTGTGGGCTTTGCTTACCTGTCCCCGTCAAAACTAGTTTAAAGCCCTCCTCACTAGGTTAGCCAGTCTGTGTCCAAATAGGGTCTTCCCCCTGCTTGAAAGGTGAACATCTCTGCCTAGCAGTCCTTCCTGGAATAGCATCCCATGGTCGAGGAAGCCAAAGCCCTCCTGGCAACACCATCTTCGCAGCCAGGCATTCACCTCCAGGATACATCTGTATCTGCCCGGGCTCCTACCTTCAACAGGATCGAAGAGAATACCACCTGCACTCCAAACTCCTTCACCCATACTCCCAGAGCCCTGTAATCACTCTTCATCTGCTCAGTGTCACACCTCACAGTATCATTTGTGCCCACTTAATTAATCACATTTAATTAGTTAACCAGTTAAACATTAAAAGTTTAACCACTTAATTGATTAAAGGGGCTGGATGGGGGAGCAGGGTTTCAGCCCTCTGTGCTGGAGAAGCTTCTCCCCCTCCTTCCCACCACAGCTAGGCTGGAGCAGCCCCCGTATCATAGGCAGGGGCTGCTCCAACCCAACTGCTTCTGACCCGGCACTGGGCTGCCAGCTCCCAGCCCATGTGAGCTGAGAGTAAGCAGCCTCATGTGGGACTAAAAGCGGCATCAAAGAGAGGGATGCCGGCTCCCAGCCCATGCAGGCTCGCAGGCTGGGAGTTGGCAGCCTCATGCAGGGAGGAAGGGAGCTGGCAGCCTTCCCCTCCCCGGCTGCCACTTCCCCCAGACTCTCCCCCTCAAGAAATTGCCCACTCCCAGCCCCACAGAACTGGAGCAGCCCTCCGCCTGCAGCAGGCCATGGGCAGGTGACTGCTCCCAGGTAATGGTTAACTGTTACTCAGTAAGCATCACCTGTTAAGGATGATGCTTACCAGGTAACTGGTTACCCATTCACATTGCTAGTACTTTTTAGATTGCATTAGCAGAGTTCACCTCAGGTACCGATAGCATAATACTTTAATGTGCACTGCAATTCACACCCCTGTAATTCACACTGCAGATCCCTGTAGACAAGACCTTAAAGTATCAAAATAATTTCATATCAGCAGGAGGCAACCTGCATAATAGTTAGAACCCTGAACTGGCAGTCAGAAGAAACGTTCCTTCTAATTTTTTCCCAGCCAGGTGCGGAATACATTTTGTTTTGTGCACTGAGGCATGTGCAGATGTGCACCACCAGTAAAAACATATGCTGCTGGCTGTGAGCACTCCACTAATAAGCTAAGTGGCATTTGAATCTCTCCTGAGTGGCTGCTCATGCGCTCAGGTTACAGGGAACACTGAGCTCTGAGTTTTATTTCTGACTGACAGTGTTGTATGATCTTGGCCTCTTGGGGGCCTCAATATTTCAATACCCACTTTTTCCAACTGCATTGCAAACCTCTGATGAAAGGGGTTGCATAAATACAATATCCTGAGATTGTACACAGGGGAATTATCCATTCAATGAAAGACTGAGCAGAAGCTGGTTAGTGATGTAGGAGATGGATAATCAGATACAAGTGCAAACAATGACAGCAAAAAGGGATAAAGAACTTTACTGTGTCTGCAAACTATACCATGCAGAGGTAACTCTCTGACTGCTGGCTTAAATGCATGGCCATTAAAACCAAAATGGCAGGCATTTTATTTTTTATTAAAGCCTTTCGAAAGTCATGAACTATAATTCTCACTGATATCAAACAGCACCTTCCACCACCCGAAGATCTCTAAGAAGGAGACACCCCTAGGAGTCTAGTGTAGCATGAATCTTTTACAGGTGCAAAAATGGAGGCACGAAGTCGTTTCCCTAAAGTCTTCAGCTGGAAAGAGAAAGCCGCAGTCCAGGAGTCAATAGAAACGGTCCCAGGCACCATTCTCCTCTCCCCTACCTCGGTAGTTACATGCAGAATAAACAGTCGGCAGAAGTCAGCTGACACCACCTGGATTTCCCCTTAAAGTCTACATCACCTTGCAGGCTGCCTGGGCAGCTGGTACCTGGCCGCTGACTAATTTAGGGGCTCCGAGTCAGCCTCCAAGCTACTGCCGGCCGGCGCTGCTTGCAGGCAAAGGACGACTAACCCTCCCCTTGCACCAGCCAGCAAACCTTGTCCATGATGACCTGCGCTTCTCCCCACCGGGCACAGCCGGGACGCGCGGTGCAGCAGGGGGCCGAGAACTTACCGGCTGCACAGCTAGAGAACCGTGCGGCGCCAGCCCGCTTTGTTTACCGCGGTATCCCGGGAACAGCCGGGACGCTTCCATGCTGCCAGCCGGCCCGCCGCGCTGCTGGGCACGCTGGGACTCGCAGTCTCTTGGTCCCGCTCCTCAGCGCCAAGTCCTCTTCCAAGGGCCATCTCTGAGCGGTCCCGGTGCAGCAACACCCCCCTGGCCCGTCGTGAGCGCTGGTCGGCGGGTCACGGACAGCGTCCTTGCAAGGAGGCGCCAGTGAATGTAGCTGCCTGGTAGCACCGCTTCCCTCCCTGTGGCCCTTTTCAATATTTGCAGGTGCCTCCAGTAGGGATGGTATCCTGAGCTTTTTTGGGGGCGGGAGGTCATGATGCCCTCTACATGTTTTGTTAATTTCTAAGGTGCTGCTAGACCGATTTGTTGTTTTTTAAGTTTCTCCATTTACAGACTGGCTACCCCTTACATTCCAGTAGGGATGTTAATTGGTTAAACCTAGGTTTAATGGGTTAACCCTGGAGCAAACCCTACCCCCAGCCAGGGTAAGGGGGCTGCTCTGGCCCCACTGTATCCTGGGGCCCCACCATGGCTGCAGGGGTGGGGAACTGCTCCAGCTTGGCCTGCTGCAAAGGGTACAGATGGCCAGGCTGGTTAACAGGTTACCTTGTAGGCATGCCAATAAGCCACCTGCTTACTGGGTAACAGTTAACTTCTTAGATTCCTAGTCTCCGGAGACCAAATTGCAGAATGTTCCCTGCCACCCCAAACAGCTGATCTTGGTCCCGATTTGCCTCTTCCTTCTACAAAGTCAGCCTTACACTAGAAATGTTTGCTGGCACTGCTCTAGGGTCAATGCAGTTCTACCAGCAACAATGTGCTATGGCTGGTGCAGGTTATTTCTCTCTGGGAAGTGTTTTGCTTCTTGCCAGTTGATCAGCTGAATCTATTCTAGGCGGATTAAACAGTGTAGCTGCAGCAGCAAAACTGAGTGTAGGCTAGGCCTAAAGAAGGTGCACACTAAGATGGTAAAAGCATCTGGCTTAAGATTTATGGGTAGCTATTTGAATGGTGGAGAAGGATCATTACATATGCACCCAGCTCCTATGTATATCAATGTGCCCTATTCATTCCTAGAGGAAAGATTTAACCCCGGGAAAGACTTTTGGAGAGTATTACTGTAATTTTTATCATTATGTGTAAGACTAGGGAGAGTGCAAGTAAAGAAGCTATGTGGAAAAAAACTAGCCTGAAATAATTTATTTTCTATACCTAACTCTCCCTTCTGTCCTTAGAGATGCTGCAGCAGGGCCATTACAGCTACAAATCTCTTGTGCTCTTTAGTGTACCTGCCCAAATGTTGGCAGATGAAAAGAAAATCTTGAATCTTTCTGAATATATTCAGTTCAGAGCTTTGCACATTTCTCTGCAGTGACCTTTTTTGACAACTGATGTGTGTTGTGTTTCCAGTTGCTATTACAGGCTGCCAAATGTATCCGTGTGGCTTGGCAGTAGTGCTGCATATTTCTTAGGATGAGCGAAGCAGATTTGGGAACAATCTCAGATACCTCCCATCACAGGATGGCAGAGGTCAAGAGCATTGTAGAAATAGGGTCTTGAACAAGAGAAAGTGGGAAATATGGAAATTAGGGATGTAAAATCCCATTTAATCAGTTAACTGGTTAAATGTTATATTTAACTGGTTAACCACTTAAACAGCGCGGAGGGGCTTCCCAGGCCAGGCCTGCCACTGGCAAGGGGCTGCTCTAGCTGAGCTGGAGTGGCCCCACCCATTGAGGGCTGCTTCGTCCCACTGGTCAGCCATACACATCCTTAGTGGAAATTATGTCACTGATTCATTTGCTGGATGGTTTATAATGCAGCATTGCCATCAGCTCGGCTCATGACCCTTTTGGCCAATTAAAAAGCCACATCAAAAGAGAAGGGCAAGCAGGAGCAGAGCCAGTTGGTCTGTCTATGCCCGATTGGGGAGAGACAATTCATCAGGAGAAACCGAATCTAGCTAATGAGTAGTCCTGTAGTATCATGAGCTTTCATGGGCAAAACCCAGACTGATAGAGCTAATATTATCACAATCCCAATAGGAGATCTGCAAACTAATCTAATTAAAATTACTACTTGGACTTTACATCGCTCTTCAGACTAAGAAGATCAAATAGCTATAGAAATAACGAAGGACTCAAGCCTCATAATGCTCCTGTGAACTAGGGAAATATTATCACTACTCTTTTACAGATGGGAACACTGATAGAAGGAGCTTAAAGGTCTTGCCCAAGGCTATGCAGAAAATCAATTACAGAGCTAGGAATATAACTCCATTTTCTTGAATTAATTTTGCATAATTATCCTTCTCTTTAAAGCTTTAAGACAATGGCTCTAACCTTTCCGGATTATTGTACCCTTTCATGAGTCTGATTTGTTTTGTGTATCCCAAGTTTCATCTAACTTAAAAAATACTCGCTTACAAAATCAGGTATAAAAATAAAGTGTTTTTCAATACTATTACTGAAAAATTGCTTACTTTCTCATTTTTACCATGTACTATATATTTGAGAGTTTGAGTCCTGTCTCTCTGTCCATCTGTTTGTTCAAGAATTCCTCCTAAAAAGTAAAAACTAGAACCACCAAATTGGGTATGCAGCTTCCTCTTATCCTAGCTTACAGCAAGGTAAGGGTTTGGTTGTGCCAGGACCATGGGATGAGCCTGGAATATGATTGGTTCTCATAAAATGCAAAAGGAGAGGGACTGCTAGCAGATACAGTTATACCATAGAATGACAGGGCAGGAGACAGCACACTGGTAAGAGAGTGGCAGGCTGAGGGCGGAGCTATGGATGTTGCCTTTTATTAGGGGTGCCCAACACTTTCTATTGTAAAACCCTGTTTTCAGTTGCAACTTTCTCAAACATTAACCATATAGGCTGAAATTTTCCACATCAGGTGTCAGTCTTAGGCTTCATAGGGTTGGAAGACCTCAGGAAGTCGAGTCCAGCCACCTGCCCAAAGAAGTCCCAACCCCAACTAAATCATCCCAGCCAAGGCTTGTTAAGCTGGGACTTAAAACCTCTAGGGATGGAGATTCCACCAGCTCCCCAGGTAACGCATTCCAGTGCTTCACCACCCTCATAGTGAAATGGCTATTAGGAAAAACTCACTTAGACCTCCCACACTGCAACCTGAGATAACCTTGTTCTATTATCTATCACCACTCTGAACAGCCTCTCTCCATCCTCTTTAGAACCCCCCCCTTCAGGTAATTAAAGGCTGCTATCAAATCCCCCCTCATGCTTCTCTTCTGTAGACTATGTAAAACCAAATCCCTCAGTCTCTCTTCAAAAGTCATGTGCTCCAGCCCCCTAATCATCTTTATCATCCTCCGCTGGACTCCAATGCATCCACATCCTTTCTATAATGTGGGGCTCAGAACTGGATGCAGTATTCCAAATATGGCCTCCCTAGTGCCAAATAAAGGAGTAAATCACTTCCCTAGATCTGCTGGCAATACTCCTACTAATGCACCCTAATATACAATTATAGCCTTCTTGGCTACAAGGGCACACTGTTAACCATATCCAGCTTCTCCTCCACTGTAATCCTCGGGTCCTTTTCTGCCAAACTGCTGCTTAATTAGTCAGTCCCCAGCCTGGAGCAGTGCTTGGGATTCTTCTGTTCCCAAGTGTGGGACTCTGCACTTGTCCTTGCTAACCCTCATCAGATTTCTTTTGGCCTCCAATCCTCCAATTTGTTTAGGTCATTCTGGACCCTATTCCTACCCTCTAGTATATCTACATCGCCCCCTAGTTTAGCGTCATCTGCAAACTTGCTGAGGTTGAAATCCATCCCCTCACCCAGTCAATAATAAAGATGTTGAACAAAACTGGCCCCAGAACCAACCCTTGGGGCACTCTGCTTCATACTGACCTCCAGACGGAAACAGGAGGAGATTAGGACAGTCTGGGCAAGGAGACTCAGACTGGGAAGAAAATCCTGAGTAGTGACTAGTAGGGTTGGGTAGGTGACAAGAGTGAAACTGGGACAAGAATCTGTGAGTACAGAATAGACAACTTGGAATGGGAACACCTTAGAGGGGGATAGGGCACTCATGTATGTGCTCATTAGACCACACTGCCACAATGGAACCCAAGATTCCTGAATCTTACCATTCCTCCATGTCAACAGATAACTGAACCGCCATCAAGCAGTGTCCATTTCTCCCGAGTTCTGGTGCACATAGAGGATAACAATTTACTACTGCTAGCAATTACTCTGTTAGCTCAAGTGCCAGAGACCTGTGCTGAAGGTTCCAGTCCTGGTGATGATCCTTATGGTTGTCAATATAATGCCACATGATGGAATTTCTGGTTTTCAATTTGTTCTTTTAAAAACCCAAGAAATTTCCCTCTCTCACACACAAATTACGGTACAAGAACATTATTAAGGTAAAGTTGCGCACTCAAAAGTCAGTAAACACTAGAGTTAAGGATGCCCATGCAACTTTAATTCAGCCCCCTTGTGCCTACGCATGCTGATTTAATTACATGATCACATCCTAATTTTTCAATGACATCCCTGCCTCATTCCAGGCACAGACTGAAGGGGGCTCACTGAGCAGCTATTCAGTATGTCCATAACTGGAAAGCAAGTCGTACGTGAATACTACAACAAAAATATCACTGACTCACCATCCAGTCGTGTCCCTTTTCTGTCTCTCCCTTTGCCCTTTTCCATGCCAGGTGCACCCTCTGGTCCCCATACCCCTCATGCTACTTTCCTCCACCCTCTCCTGGGTCTGATTGAATGTCAGCACTGGTTTCCCTGGGACAATTGGTCTCTTATGTGCTTTGCTGTTTGCATTAGAAACAAAGAGTCCAAAAATTGAAGTTTACTGGAGCTAATACTTATTCCCTTGCTATACAATATACCAGCCAAGTACCCTGTTATGTTAAAAAGCAGGATCATACTGAAGGACAGAATAAAACAGCATCGTTGGGTATATTAAGATTAGTATTGCTGTGGATTTTCCACTTTTGATTTGTGCAAAATTGAATACGCTAATTCTATTTTTCAGCATAAAGAAGCTCAGAATTTACATCTCCTTTTGCTGGTGCTGCTACTTTTCATTGACTAGAGTACCCAAACCAGGCAGTAGTTGAATAGCCTTATTGCTGGCTATATTAGATAAATTATGCCCTGA